AAGACCTTGATTCAGGTTATGAAGTGACACCAACCCAAGATAAGGTGGCGTCTTCATTCCACATTAATTGATGATGAGATCCCGGTTGCGGGGGGCATGTACAACTTGGTTGATGGAAATGATGCGCGACCCTATTAAGTAAACGAGACTACTTGATGATCCACCAAAAATGCAGTACATGGTTAAACTGCTAATGCATCTCGCTTTGTCTATGGGTGGGCCCAAATCATAAACGCTCCTAGCCCGCATGAATCTAAATTGTGAACAGCTTACTTTAAAAAAAAATAATCATTTGAACTACGTTTGACTTGATCTCCTTGGAGTACGTAGGCAGCTTAGAAATTTTATTGTCTAAGTTCAGTCATAACAAAAGAAAACCCATATTTGTGTACTTCCACGATAGTGATTCTATTATCATTCAAAGCATACAGTAGTTAATGGCATGGAAAAGAAGGGGGAGAAGTGTAGAAATTATTACAAGACAACTATCAAGGCATGCATCCCCGTAGCAGTTGACCATTGCTTAGCATTTTGATTGTATCTTGGTCTACAGTGGTCCAATTAATGTGATTTAAGTGTCTTTGGAAAGATAATTTACAAGACTAATTTGCTTTGATAGTTCAAGAAAGAGCTTCGTGTGTGGTTGTTGGTCATGAATTTCAAGCACGGGCAATAGATGTTGTGCTAGAGGTGGCGGATTAATTTATTCTTGTTACTGGACATCACCCAGCTCTTTAGTCCTGTTAAATCGTTGATTCTTGAAAATGCATTATTTTGAACCGAGTTAAAGTTATACCAAACTTGAGAAAATCGTGGCAAGATGTGCGATTAATGTTATTATTACTATCGTTGTTATCATATTAAAGTAATAATGATAATAATTATTATCATTATTATTATGTTATTATTATTGAAAGTTGAAAGGGAAAAAAAAAACAAAAGAGAAAAAAAAAACAGAAAATGAAAAGGAAACAGCAACGCAAAAACACAAAAGACAAAGCAAAAAAAAAAAGGAAAAAAGAAAACGAATCAGAAAATGAAACAAAAAAGGAAAAACAACAAACAAAAAAAGAGAAGAAAAAATAAAATAAAAAGAGAAGTTGGCATGTGTACATATACAGTGCATGTTATGTTATGTATACATTAGAGGCAATGATGGTGGTGGCGTGGTGTTGTAGAGAAAGTAATTGGTGGGTCCCCACAATCTTTTGTCTCATTTCCAATAAATATGAGATTCACGTGGGATCTAGCTTGGAGTTGTAGATAAGTGCAGCAGCTCAGGTCTTCCTTTGTAAAACCAAGGAGCAGTTCCCTCTCTCTTCTTCCTTAAACAAGGACTTCCTCATCACGGCAGCGACCCAACAGATTTTGTTGAAGAAGAACGAGCTTTGGCGAAGAACTTCAACGATTGTAAAGGCGAACAGAAATAGACGCTGGTGAAGACCCAACAGGCAGGCAGCGGACTCCAATTTTCCTCCGGCGACCTGCAAAAGACAGAAGCAGAGCTCCGCGATAACCCTCCAGCAGCGGCGATCTCCGACGACCTAAAAAAGATAGAAACAGAGCTCCGCGATAACCCTCCAGCAGCAGCGATCTCCGGCGACCTGCAAAGGACAGAAACAGAGCTCCGCGATAACCCTCCAGTAGCGGCGATCTCCGGCGACCTGCAACAGACAGAAACAGAGCTCCGCAATAACCCTCCAGCAACGTCGACCTCCAAGCAGTAGAGAAGCAGAGATGAGAAGAAGGCGACTCCAGGAATCGATTTCCAGCGACAACGGCCTTCATCAACTCCGGCGATCTCCGGTGACTTCTGCGAGGAACTCTGGCGAGAGTAGCAACGAACCTCCTGTAGCATTCAAAAAAGAAAAAAAACTC